TCACTCCTCCTCGCTTCTCCCTACTACTGCGCCACTCCAGACCCTGCACTTGGACGTTTGGGGCCCAGCCCCTGTCCCTAGGCCGCATCGAAAGCGCTACTTTCTAGTGCTTGTTGATAAATACACGCACTATACCACGGTTTTTTTCCTGTAGCGTAAGGCCGACGTATCTAATGTATTATCCCGTGGGTCGTAGCTGCTCGAGTCTACCAGGGCGTCTTCACTCCGACCATGGCGGCGCGTTCTCCTCCAGTCGGCTTGGCCAGTTGTGTCATGCAGAGGGCATCACTCAATCGTACACCTTGCCAGACTCCTTGCAGCAGAATGGGGCCGCTGAGCGACGCATCAGTTTGGTCATGGAGGTGGCTCGTACCTCCATGATCCATGTCGGTGCACCCAATTTTCTGCTGCCGCTCGCTGTTCGCTACGCCACTCACCAGCTAAACCTGTGGCCGCACTCCTAGCGGCCGCAGGTTTTGCCGACCCTTCTCTGGACCGGGTTCCTTGGTGACGCATCTGCTTTCCACGTTTGGGGCTGCCTTGCTCACGTTCGTGCCTCCGGCACGGAGAAGCTCACTACCTGCACCGTCCCTTGTGACTTCCTTGGTTTCCCTCTCGACGCGTCTGACTAGCACTTCTTCCACACGCCGCCTCACCGTTTCTTTCTCTCTCGTGATTTCACTTTTGAAGAGTCCGTCTTCTTCTATATACGCTTTCCCAACTGAGGTCTCCCGGTGGCCCCGCCTTGTTCATTGTCCCCACTCCCCCGGTAGCCCATGCTCCTCATCCTCCCAATCCTGCCCCGTCTGGTGTGTCTCACATCACTCCCCTACCGTCGGTTGTTCCGGTGGAGGAGTGGGCTGACTCCGGGGGCCCCGCAGCTTCGGCTTCGCCGCTTGTCTCTGCCCCGATGTCTCCTCCTCCTCCTCCGCCGCCATCGCAGCAGCCGCCGTCGCTGCCACAGCCGCAGTAGCAGTCACCGTCGTTGCAGCCGCAGCAGCAGCCGCCGTCGCCGCAGCAGCCGTCGCAGGGGTCCGCGACCTCCGAGGGTGCGGGCGTTGTGGAGGGTGCTAGTCCTGGGAGTACCGTCATTGCTTGTCCCGGCGGGTCTAGGGGTGGCATCGTTGTTGGAGAGGGTTCTGGTTCTTGGGGTGCTGTCGTGGAGCGTCCTGGAGGTAGCCGTAGTGCAGCTGGAGGTTCTGGTGTCGGTGTAGAGCAGCTGCAGCAGTGGCCGCCGGTGTCCGCCCTTCGCCTCCTCGATCGTCCCTCCCCTTATCGCCCGCCTGCGCCTCCCCCCCCATCTACGGCCCTATGATTTCTCCGCCGGACTCGTTTCCGGCTCGCTTTTCCTCCGCGATCTCCTCCTGTGTCTCCTCCTGTGTCTCCTTCTGTGTCTCTTGACCCCACGCCTCCGTCCCATTTCTGGTCTTGCCGTCCCTCCCATGCTCGCCCTGTCACTCCCGATCAGCGCTCTGACCCTGTGTTGCTTCATTCCCGCGCGTCTCGTCCTCCCCTCCTCCGTCATCGCTGGCTGTCGCTCCGCCTACCCTGTCTGACTTCCTCCGTGCCGCTAGTCCTCTTGTTCCTCGGGTCCTTGCCTCTCCTATTACCGACTCGTCTGTTCTTGTCTGAAGTCTTGACGCTCTTGTCGGACTCTGCATCTACCCGCCGCCTTGACTACGCCACCGCTCTGGTCTCTGGCCGTGCCTGCCCTCTGTCCGTCGGGGGTCCACCTTCCCTTATCACTGACATTCTAGAGGACAGGCAGTATGAGCTTGCTTTCCTATCCGAGACCGCGCCTCATCTCTGCTCCATGCTGCTAGTCCATGAGGGTCACCCAGACGCATCTGACATCCCGACCCCTTACACCTACGCTGAGGCGACATCGGGACTCTGGTCCTCCTTTTGGATAGCTACCATGGACGCGGAGATGGCATATTGGAGATCCACCGGCAACTACGTCGACGCAGTTCCCCCACCTGGGGTGAATGTAGTCGATGGACGGTGGCTCTTCAAGGTGAAGCGCCCTCCTGGAGAGCCGCCTGTCTTCAAGGCGCGCTACATTGTTAGAGGCTTCAGTCAGCGCGAGGGTGTTGACTTCCTTCAGACCTTCGCCCCGACCCCGAAGATGACTACTCTTTGGGCGCTGCTATACGTAGCAGCACAGCGTGACTACGAGCTGCACTCTCTCGACTTCTCGACACCGTTTCTTCAGGGCATACTGCACGAGCAGGTCTACCTACGTCGCCGACTAGGCTTGACCAGCACCTTCGCCCCGTGGACCCGATGGCTCCTCCAGCGCCCGGTTTACGGCCTGCGGCAGGCGCCGCGCGAGTGGCACGACACGCTCCGTGCTATGTTAGCTGACCTACAGTTCCTCCCATACTCTACAGACCCTTATCTCTTTGTTCGTCCAGGCCAGACTCCATTCTACATCCTTGTCTACGTAGACGACCTCGTCTTTGCTACTGCAGACAGAGACGCACTGGCCTCCATGAAGGCCGAGCTGCTGAGGAGACACACCTGCACTGACCTAGGAGAGCTGCGTTGCTACCTTGGCCTGCAAATCTCCAGGGACAGAGCAGCGCGCACCATCAATCTCACCCAGTCACACTTGGTGCGCCAGGTCCTTCAGAGGTTCGGTCTTCAGTTCTCCTCCGCAAAACCCACACCCCTGTCAGAAGATCACAGGATCTCAGCTACAGTCCCTGAGGAGTCAGTAGAGCCTCGTGGTCTATACGCAGAGCTGGCTGGTTGTCTCGTGTACCTTATGATTTGCACTCATGCAGATGTCGTATACCCTCTCAGCATCGTGGCTCGCTTTGTGGCCACAGGCACACACGGTCCACAGCACTGGTCGACCGCTATGAGGGTTTTGCGTTATCTAGCTGGTACATCGGGCATGGGGCTAGTTCTAGGAGGACACATGTCAGTGGTCCTTACAGGGCACACAGACGCTTCGTGGGAAGACGACTCTGAGACGCTCAGGTCCTCTTTGGGCTACTGCTTTAGCCTTGGTGCAAATGCCATCTCGTGGAGGTCCACTCGCTCGTCGTCTGTTGCCCAGTCTAGCTGTGATGTTGAGATCTACGCCGATACCATGGCGGCACATGAGTTCCGCTGGCTGAATTTCTTGCTCACAGACTTAGGTGAGCGGCCTAGCTCTGCCCCGGCCCTATACGCTGACAACAGGGCCATGATCCTCCTGTGTCAGGAGCCTCGACTGGAGGGCAGAGCGAAGCGCATCCATCTGCAGTACTTCCTCCTACGCGAGCTACAGCAGCGCCGCTAGGCCCGTGTAGTACACTTGGCCTCCGGTGCCAACACAGCTGATATCTTTACGAAGGCGCTTGCGCCTAAAGATCATCAGCGACAGTTTGTACAGCTTGGTCTGTTTCTTGTAGTTTCTCACTTGCTATGACCTTGATTGTGTACTATGTCTTATATTACCCTGACTGGCCTTGTGGCTCCTGTTCCAGTGGCGAAACAAGTAGTGCCTCCCTGTGTTACTCTTGTTTAGTTTGTACTCTCGCTGACTGGTCTTCAGACCCTTGCCTCAGAGGTAGGACTAGTACTGCCACCCTGAGCTGCGTGTCTCTCGCCCGTTATATAGCCTAGGGGGTGTGTCAAGCACATATGTATATGTTATTTTAGACTAGATAGGTGCGTACTCTTAGAGAGTACAACTCCTTATACAAAAAAATCATGTATCTCACTTTCTAACTAACAATTCTACCCTGAGACGTGTCTCCGGTGAGCCGTTCGAGCCCAGTGGTCCCTATGCAAAGCTGATGGAATGCCTCATGTACTTGATGACGTGCACTCTCCCACATCTTTCATACCCTCTCAGCATTCTCGCTCACTTCGTCTCGACTGGTAGACATTGACCAGAGAACTGGTCAGCTACTAAGAGTGTATTGCGGTATCTGACGAGTACCTCAAGCCTTGGGCTTGTGCTGGGAGGATGGGCGCGAGTAATTCTCAGTGGACATACAGACGCGTCGTGGGCTAAGACATGGAGACGTCAAGATCGTCATCGGGCTACTGCTTCAACCTTGGTGCAGGTGCTGTCTTGTGGCGGTCCAGTCGGTCTTTGTCTGTAGCATTGTCTAGCTGTGAGGCAGCGATCTATGCTGGTGCTATGGCTGCTCACGAGCTCCGCTGACTGACGTTCCTGCTCATTGAATTAGGTGAGCGGCCTAGGTATGCCTCAGTCCAGTTTGCTGATAACAAGGCCATGATCCTACTGTGTCAGGAGGCTCAACTTGAAGGCAAGGCCAAGCACATCCAGTTGCGTGGTACGTTAGTTGTTTCCCTTTTGCCTTACCGGTATTCGTTTTCGTTTGATATTCTTCCTACTGTACACTTTCACAGTACTCGTCTGTGTGCAACTGGAAAGGCACACTGCTTCCTGATCCCCCAATCGAGGACAGCTCAGCTACAAGGGGCGACTAGCACCAGAAAGCGCTACATATTTCCGCTTGACTCCCAGTATGGCTTGGACCGCAGGTGACACATTCAGAATACAGTATGGATACCCGTCCATGGACAGGCAAGCCAGAATTATCCCACGGCCAATTTCCGAGTACAGGATAGACCCGCCCTGTAAAATCTAATGTAAACGTTCGCGCCCCTAGTAAAAAGTTCTCCACCTGTCATTGTCAGGAGCGGCTTTATTCCGAGCTTGACGAAACTCTTGCCTGCAAAAACAATCAAACTTTTTAGGGCTACCCAGCCTGGACGAGTTGGATCCCGGGCAAACTCGGAAACTGCAGGGTGACCCCTAGGATATCGAGAGGTCTGGGGGGGTCCCATACGAATCTGGGTCGCGTTTCTTACGGGTTCCAATGCGATCTGATACGGCGATAGAGAGTTCTTATGTAGTTGAGTGCGGTCGACCTTTTTGCATCGGATCCCCAAAAACGTCAAATTGTACCGCGCCCTGATGCCCGTACGGCTTCAAAGGCCCATACGGCTCCGAAGGCCCATACGGCTCCAAAGGCCCATACCCGCATCATGGGCCTTATTTCTCAGTCCCCGTGTCCTCATATCCCGTGTTTGTAGCCACGAGGCCACTATGCCGATGGATGCCGTCCAACGATCGGCCGCCTCGAGATTTAAAGGCCTCCCGAGCAAAGACCTTTGCCTGTCGAACCGCTTCGTAGTAGCGGACAGTACAACCAGTGCATTTCTAAGTACATCATCCCTAGGTTGGCTTCTAAGTTGGCGATGGACCGCCAAGGCCCTCGCGTGTCGCCTGCTGTTGCTGCTCGTCCCCGCGCTGCTCGTCGCTCATTCGCTCCTCTCCAACCGCGGCACTCTGGAAGGTTCTTCGCAGGTTCTCGACGCAACGGTCGACGCAACGGCCGAAGCTGATGCGATAAGCGGCGCCGCTGGGGCGCCGCCTATCGCGGCGATAGGTGCGCCGTCGGGTCCTTTCGCTTACCGTGCCAGCAGCGCAGGGACAGACGCGGGTCCTTCAGGCGGTGGCGGCGGTGGCCGAAATGCTGGCTCTGTCCCCGACGGCGCGACTGTACGCGATACAGGCAACGATGCCGTTACGGAGGTACAGCAGCAGCAGCAGCAAGACGAGGGGACATATGGGGTCTGGCTGTCACAGGCGCAGCAGCAGGCTTCAGGCGGGCCGCAACAGCAGCAGCAGGAGCAGGCGCAGCAGCACTCCCTGACAGTGCAAGCAGAATGGGAAGCACTCGACGAGGCAAGGGCTGTGGAGCTATCCTTAGCTGTTTCCAGCCGGCCACATACCGCCGCTGCAACCGCTGCTGCATCGCCGGCGCATGGTGACGGGCATGGGGATGGCCCTGCTGACCACCACCGTGCCAGACATGCCCATGCCCATGCCAATCGAAGCATGATCAATGCCGATGCTGGCGCAGGTGCTGATGCCGATGGCAATGGCGGTTCGGGCGAAGGGTCCGAGGGGTGGCACGGTTCGGAGCGGTTTTACAGGGTGACGGGCGAGGGCGACTACTGCGCTGGCGAGTCGCATTGGGTGTGGAGTTTCCTGTGCGCCGCAGCCGAAGCCCGCCTGCTGAACCGCACGCTCGTGCTGCCCCTCGCTCGCTGCATACACGCCACCCACACGCTCTCGCATGTGACAGAGGAGAAACCGATGGCGCTCTACTACGACATGGACCACTGGCCGCGGTAAGGGCCGGGCGAGGGGCTGTGAGATTAGCTTTTTTCAAAGGCACCGGCTGCTACAAGGAAGGGCGTTGAAAGAAACCCATGGCGCTCTACTTCTCTACTAGTGCTCGGACCATTGGCCGCGGTAAGGGCCGGCCGGGCGGGGTTTTCAAACGCCATGGCGCTGTTGGAGGGAGGCGAATGTGATGACGCTCTACTGCCACCCACATGGACTCGACGGTGAGGGCCGGCCGGATCCGGAGGGTATTCTTGTCGCTTGGTGTTTTTTTTTTTTTTTTTTTTTTGCTATTATTTTTATTTATCATATATATCAGGAGATTCCCAATAACCAGCTGTAATGTGGGAGGAGAAACCCAGGGCGGTGCTCTGATGCTGCATGGACCACTGGCCGCGGTAACGGCGAGGGATTCTGTTCAGAGTTCAGGGATTCTATCCAGCTCTCTCAACGACCCTCCTTTTCCCTCCCCCTCCTTCTCCCCCCCTTTCCACCCATCCCAGCTTCCAGCCCATAATGCTGGACGCGCAGTTCGAGCAGCAGTTCGGCTCTCTCAACATCGCGGTCCTGCGGGCCCAGCACAACATGCGTGTGCGCGTGTTCCAAGCGCAAGTCCCCACGAGCCGGCTGCAGAGCACGGATGCACGTGCTGCCACGCTGATCGTGCGCCAAGCACACTTCGCTTATGACATCTGCATTGCCAAAGGGGATGCGGTGGGTGTGAGCAAGTGGTGGAGTGGGTGTGAGGAAGTGGAGTGGGTGTGAGGGAGTGGAGTGGGTGTGAAGGAGGGATTTATATTTTAGATGCCGCCAAGCTGATCGTGCAGAGTGTGCGCTTCGCTTATGACATCTGCATTACGTGAGGGGATGCGGTGGGTGTGAGGGAGTGCAGTGGGTGTGAGGGAGCATTGTGGGTGTGAGGGAGTGGAGTGGGTGCGAGGGAGCACAGTGGGTGCGAGAGAGTGCGGTATGTTTGTTGCTCGGCATGGTGAGGTCTGCTCCGCTAGAGTGTCCGATTCATGACCCGTCCTCCCCCGACCCCCTCCTCTCCCCCTCGCCCGCCCCCGACCGGCACCTCAGAAGCGCCTGGTGCGCAACTACAACCTGATCCAGCGGCCCGTGTACCTGCGGCGGCTGGCAGAGACGATCCGGCGCAACATTGGGTCGGGCTACGACAGCGTGCACGTGCGGCGCGGCGACAAGCTGAACCGCCGCTTCTGGCCGCACCTTGACCGGGACACACGGCCCGACGCGTGCGTGGGGGATGGGGAGAGTGGGGGAGCGGGAGCGGGGTGCAAGTAATTTGATTGTTTGTTGTTGGTGTGTGCATGCATTACGCTAGTTGGGTGTGAAGCACCAGTAATGGGAACACACGTTAGGGTCTCGAACGTCTCTTGTATCCCAGGTCCATTCCTCATTTCACTCCCCCCCTCCCTCCCTCCCTTTCCTCCTCCTCTCCTCGCTCCCTCCTTCACTCGCTCCCTGACTCTCACCCCCCCTCAGCCTGCTCAAGACGCTTCCCAAGTTCATCCAGCCGGGGCGCCACGTGTACATAGCGTCGAACGAGCGCACTCCGGGGTTCTTCAGCCCGCTCGCCTCGCTCTACAAGATCCACGTGCTCTCCGACTACCGCCACCTCTGGGCGCCCGGCAGCGACTGGTACAAGGAGTGCCGGGAGCTCATGGAGCGGCACAGCATTTTTCTGGGGGGGGCAGAGCCGGAGCTCGATGCACAAATGCAGGTGTGTGTAAAGGGTAGGGGTGGATGGTGGGTGGGGATGGGAGGGTATAAGGTGGGTGGGGGGGGGGGGGGGGGGAGGTATTGGCTTATAGCCCATATGCAGCATGGCGTTGATGCCTGATGGACCCAGCCCAAAGACATTCCTTCTCTTACTTCTCAACTTAACCCTATCACACGGTTACAGAATTAGCTTACAAGGTGTAACTAATCGCCAAACCACCCCTCTGTGTGGTTGCTTCCTGTTATCCTTCTTTGCTGGTTGGTTGCAGTGGATCGTGGATAACATTCTGTTTAGTGGGGGGAAGAAGAGGGTGGAGACATTCTTTGACCTCACCAATGATACGAGACACGCTATTGCACGACATGTTACACCCACGCAGTCTCCTACCATTGTGAAACTGTGAATGAAGGGAAGTGTAGTGGTGAATATGGTACAAGGTTTACTATTTATCACACAATAGAGCAAGCTTTCACTCACTGCCCCTCTTCACATGTCAGCAACACGCCAAAGCTCAACCTCGTGTGACCAATGGATTCTCATGTGGTGAGTCACGCTTGGATGTGCAGCGCATCCTCCATCTTGTTTGGTACATAAACAAGGAATGATGACGGTTTTATGGGTGCTTCATCATGAAGTAAATACCTTCACCTTTGTAGCGCGATAACTGTATCGAGAACACTGACACCAAATTATCCACTTTGTCAGAAGGCGGCCGAACCGCTAAGGCCAACGGGTCGCAAGGATTTCTCTCCAGCCTTTCAGATTCCCGCTCTGCACGCACCAACCATTGTTGGAAGATGGCTCGGATCGTGGGCAGGCTTTACTGCTCTGGGACCATCCTGTCCTCTGTTCGTGCGCCGCCCCGTCGTTTGACGGACGAATCAACAAGCAAGCGAGATGGCGAAATTCGCGACGAGGAGGAAAGGACATTCATGAGTCGAGGAAACAGTTCCATGAAAGTTTTCGGCGAAACAGATAGGTGTGGCGAAAACTGGTGATCGTCAGAGAAACGAACAGATACGAACAAGCGAACAAGTGGCAGTAAGTGGATTACCGCATGCGACAGCAGTCTCATTCCCGCAATGCCGTTGTGCTGCTACCCCTCGTCTCCAATATTGATCACTCCACTCGACATTTCTCAACCTCGTTTCATGCCACGCTGAATCGCTGTTGAGCCCGCCGTGCTTGTCTTTCAGCCATTGCACCACGTCGTGGCCGCATCACAAGCCCATTTCGGCGTTCCGAAAGTGCGGCGGAATACATCGCTTACTTGTTTCTCTCCAGACTTCTACCGCGTGCCAAAATAGAATCTATGGGCGCGTGAGCCCTTCGTTTCAAACACAGCCATCTCCTACCACTCCCCTATTGGTTCTCCTAACCTCGCCTATACTTTCCACAGAGCAACAGCAGCGCTAGGAATGGTTTCGTTTCGAGCCCCATTGCTCAACAGCGCAGCAGCGAGGAACAAGCCTTCCGTCTTTCAGCTCTCCGTAAAATACTCGGCAGCCGGCGGCGGCAACTACGCGCCGCCAATCAGTCCCTACGGCAAGGGCAAGAGAGCCAACTGGGCGGGATGCGGCCCGTTTGCCTGGGAATGGTTCGGAGGGAAACCCATGCTCCTGATGATGCTGATAACGGCGTGCGTCGCGGGACACGTGGCGATTAGCAGGGGCCGCAACTCGCTCTGGACGCGACTCGCCAGCGAGCCGCAGATGATTCTCGCGGCGCAGAAGGCGCTAGACGCGCAGCAAGACGCGGAAGCTCTTCTATCCGGACCCGCGATGAGCGTGCGCGTGACCGAGGATCTGAAAGTGCGCGACTCGAGCATCGATAGCACCGTCGCTACTAGAAACGTCGTTGCCGCTGCCACGGCTGTCGAAGGCAACGTCGGAGACTCCTCCATGTCCTCCGTCGCCGCGAAAGTCGGCGATGCGCTCGAGCGGCAAGCAGAAGAGGAATCAGCGGTGGATTCTCCGCTGCAAATTACGGCGAAGACTGTGCAAGCCGAGGAGCCGCTGCAGGAGGAGGACCATTCGGGGAAACAGCAGCAGGCGGAGGCCGAGAAGCAGCGGTACTACATGGTGGTGGGTGGGAATAACACGTGTATCGAGGAGGACGAGTGGAAGTGGAGCTTCCTGTGCGCCGCGGCGGAGGCGAAGGCTTTAAAGCGCGTCCTGGTCATCCCGCTTATGTACTGCTTCACCGGCTGGGGCGGCAAACCCGTGGAAAGGCCCATGGCGCTTTACTACGATGTGGATAAGATGAAAAGGTGAGAGACGGAGGGGGAAGAGGGGGTGGGGGGGGAGGAGAGGGGGAGGAGAGGGGGGAGGAGAGGGGGGAGGAGAGGGGGGAGGAGAGGGGGGAGGAGAGACGAGTTATAAAATTTTCAGGCGGCATGGAGAGTTCCATGGCGCTTTGATATGACGCGGAGCGAATGAAGAGGTGGGAAACGGGGGACGACGAGGGAGACTCTGCATGGGAGAGACGACGAGAGTATCGAATCGAAGGATCGGGAAATGTGAGTTGCGGCATTTCAGATGGCATTTCCTCGTATTTCCTCGTAGAAATTGCTTATCACACCGCGAACCGTTGACGGCAACCGCCTTCCCTCCTTATTACCTCCCCTCCCTACTCCCCCCCTCCCCCCCCTCTCCTCTCGTTCTCGTCCTCTACTTTTTCTTCGCTCGTCAACTCGCTGTCCACTCATTCCTCTCACTCGCCCTGTCTCCCCGCGCCTTCTCCCGCACTCCCCGCTTCGCTCCCCCCACCTCTCCTCGTTCCCCGCTCCGCTCTTCCTCCCCCCCAAACACCAATCAGCATCCAGCCGCTCGTGAGCGACCTGGAATTCGACCTGCGCTTCGGCGACTGGCGCTCCCGCGCGTTCCGCAAGCGGTACACGGTGCGCGAGTTCGGGTCGAACACGCCCACCAGCGAAGTGCGCAGCGACGCGGGCGACGCGCACCTGGTCGTGCGCATCCTCCAGGAGCAGCAGCGCGCCGCGCGCATATGCAAGGGCGAGGTATGTATGTGGTAGCGAGGCTTTGGGCTTATGCAAGGGCGAGGTATGTATGTGGTAACGACGCTTTTGCGTGGGTGTTCAACCGCCCTTGCGTAAGCGAGCTTATCTGCAAGGGCGAGGAGTGTTCGGATAAGCGCACTCAACCAAACGCGTCTTCTATGCGGACGGTCTTAGGCAACGAGGATTCGTGGTACTAGTTATATGGAGGCGAGCGGCCACGCGGAGGTGAATAGAGCACATGTCACTCTCGTCCTACAGGCGGACACGTGGCAAGGCAAGGGAATCGCAGAGAAATTAGAAGCGAGAGGAGGATGGGTTCCCCTGGAAACCGACGGGGCTTGGAGTATTCCAAGCGTTTCGCGGTCGATTGTCTTCGGAGCCCTCGTGTGGCGCACAACGTGCAAAGCTCATCGTCCGCCTCGTTGCTTGCCCTCGTGCTGAGCTCGCAGTTCGCCTCCAACCGTGCTCCAATCCCATGGCAGGCAGCACGGCAGGCACTCGCCAGCGCAGGCAGCACGGCAGCTGAATTGCCTCTTGCGGGGTAGCATCCCTTTGTCCAGTCCATCGTAGGGTTTCCCGACCGCGATTCCTGCACCGAGACAGGCTACGGGCCAAGCAAAGAGACGCGGCACGAGTTGAGCCGCGTTGTTCTCCTTCTCTTGTGAACCCGTGCGCGACGGGCTGAGGTATCTCAACGAGCGCTGAGTGCGAGTGGATAGGCCACGGAGCCAGGCTACAAGTCAGGCCATGGGCCAATAGAGAGACGGCACGAGTGAAGCTCCCTGTTTCTTCCCTTGTCTCTCCGCCCACCCGTGCGAATCCGCCGTCGCAGGACTCGTTGGTGCGCAACGTGCGGCTGGTGCAGGAGCGGCGGGAGCTGCTCGTGCTGAGCGGCGCCATAGCGGCGTCCATGGGGAACGGGGACTACGCCGCGGTGCTGGTGAAGCGCGCCAAGCGGAGCATGTGGACCGGCTGGTCCAACGTCGACCGCCACACCCGCCCCGCCGCGTGAGTGGGGCTGCTGCTCCTAGTGCTGCGGGCTGCCGCTGCTGGTAGTGCTGCTGCTGCTGATGGTACTGCTGTTGCTGAGTGGTGATGGCACTGTTGCAGGGAATTGGGGGTCTGTCTGCATTGCTAGAGCTGCTGCAGTGGGCTTAGTCACTGGTGGCCAGGCGAGACCTCAGCTTCTTTCACTGCGCTCACTCACACTCCCCGCAATCCTCCCACTCCTCGCATTCCCACTCCTCGGTCCCTTTGCTCCCTCCCCTTCCGCCCTTTTCACTCCTTCATCCAGCGCTCTCACTCCTCTCACAGCCTACCCCATTCTCATCTGCGGTGCATTGCTCAACCAAACCGGACTCACTCCTCTCCCAGACTACCACATTCTTTACTCTTCTGCTGTTCATTTCTCAGCCAGAACTTACTTCCCCTTCGTCACCTCTTTCCTTTCCCTCCTTCATCTCCAGGCTGCTCAAGTCTCTGCCCCGTTTCATTCCCAAGGGGCGCCACGTGTACATAGCGTCGAACGAGCGCACTCCGGGGTTCTTCAGCCCGCTCGCCTCGCTCTACAGGATCCACGTGCTCTCCGACTTCCGCCACCTCTGGGCGCCCGGCAGCGACTGGTACAATGACTACAGGGACGTGCTTGCTGCTCTGAGGATGCGAGGCGCAGAGCCAGCGTTTGATCTGCACATGAAGGTGAGAAGAGGGTGATTGGGGAGGATTTGGAGGGGTGGGATAGGCAGATATGGGGGGATCAAAGCTTTCATGAGTAGCTAGTACGAGTGACTGTGCTGCCATCGAACACGCCAAGGCTGTTTGCAGGAGTAGTTAAGGTTCATGGACCTGGCTGAACTTTCTCAGAGAACGATGCTGCTCTTGTGCATTTCCGTGTCTTCGTCCTACCCTGCTTGTTGCCATTGTGTTTTGTGCTTGAGAGCCTTCGTTGAATTGTTATCACTCATGCACCACTTGTGTCTGCCTCTTTAATTTCTGTACTAACAGGGGATTGTGGACCGCCTGATTATGAAGAGTGCATCAATGAAGGTGGATGTTTTCAAAGACATTGTACCCCATGCCCAGGGATCTTAGATTTCTGATGTAAGCAAAATCGAAAGCATGATCAGTAAACGGGCATATGGTTTACACGGGTGAATAGCCGTCATACGAAATGCACTGACGATCACCACTTTTGAGGGTTAGGTTTAAATTTAAAAGCCACCACCTAGCTCGTTTTGCTATAATTTTTGGGTATCAACTATGTACTTGCATTCTATAAAACCCTTCATACACTCCTTTTCTTCTTCGACTATACAAAAGCTTGTCTCGGATGATCCTCTTTAGGACGCGGTACGTTGCATCCGGTTCTCTGATCATTTCCCAAACTTGCGGACGCGGTACATTGCACTGAAGAAAGCGGGTAACCATATAGCTACAAAAGCCTCGAAATAGTCATGTACCAGATCCGAGAGGAGGATCACTTTCGGAACAAAATCGGGAATCAATTGCGCGTCCAGAACACAAACGATTCTCCTCGACGAAGAACCAGATTCCCCACCCCCAATTGCCAAGAAACTAGAAGCGCTTCGCCAACTCGCCATTGCGAAAAAATGACAAGGGTAAAGCCTCCCGTCACGCGCCGCACATGCGAAGCTCCAAGGAGGGTTGCTGGGTCTCGACGAATTCTTCTGCGAAATGTCACGGTGTCCAGCTGCAAATCGATACTCGAGATCAGAAGTTGCAAATCTGGAACATGCATATGTCGCGTACGATATCGATTGGCGTTCGTTTTTATTGAGTCAGAATCGAAATTCTAAAAACACAGATCGATTTGTTTGCCACGATCCTCCGAAACGGACGCAATGTAGCGCGTCCTTGCAGAGCAGTCAGATGACCGGCGTAATGTGGCGCTGTTCCTCCCTCGTCCCGCCTAGCTGGCACGCTTCATGCGGGTCTTTACAAGCCGGCTCGCGTTTCGGCCACGTCGCAATGTCGCAATCTGCATTTCTACGGACATTTTCGCAGCTAAGCTGCTGTTACCACTCTCGCCACTTCGTTATTTCCTCGTTTTCTCTCGCAGTGCCAGCCACTACACATTTGGCCCTCACTGTTTCAAATTACTTTTCGCCTTCACCACCCATCTCCTTCTCCCCTCCCAGCTCCGGATTTCAACAGACGATTTCTTTTGTGAAGCAATCGACCTCTTTCGTGTTTGAATTCCCTGTTTCCTCTGGTCGACCAAGATTTCTTGTCCAGTTACAACCGCCGATTCGGTATTTCTTGCCGGATTTTCAACCACAGTATAGTTCTAGTCGGCTTTCCAGAAAAGCCATCACGCTGCAGGCATCACTCGAACTTCAAGATCCGGCTCTGCGTTTCTACACTCGCCACCAGCATGCCGGCAGACACAGCGCGGGCAGGAGGAGGGGCAGCAGGGGGAGCAGCAGGCGGGGGAACATCTGGAGTGCGGCCGTCAGCAGGAAGTACCCATTCGGCCGTCCGCGACGCGGCGACGGGGCAGATCAAGGGCATGGCGAGCTTCGCGGAGAGAAAGGCGAGCCGCGGGCGATTCATCGTGATCTCCTTAATCGCCGCCACGGGAGCCGCGGCGTGGCTGACGAACTACACGGCGAATTCTAGGGGCCAGCCCGTGCCGACGGTGCCCAAGGAAAACGACAAGGACCAGAAGCACCACCCCGAGGGGCCGGTGATAAAAGACGCGCCTAAGCATATTGTGGCGGGGCCGGGCGTTATGGGGCATAACGAGGGGTCGAAAGGGAGCCTCCCTGAGTAGATTAGCATATCAAGGGACAGGGGGTGAGCGCGGAGGGGGGGAATTGCCTGAGGGGGGAGGGCTGGGGGAGGGCTGGGGGGAGGGCTTGGGGGGGGGGGGGCTTACAGCTGAGAGGGGGGGGGGTTGAGTGGAAGGGAGCCTCCCTGAGGCGATTGGCAGTTCCTGGGACAGGGGGTAAGCGTGGAGGGGGGTAACTTTCTGAGGGGGGATGAGTTGGCTGATGGGAGGAGTTAAAGATGAGGGGGGGGGTTGAGTGGAAGGGAGCCTCCCTGGTTGATAGGTTCTGAGGGACAGGGAGTAAGGAGTGAAAAGGGGAACTGTCTGGGTTTGGATGGGTGGGACCACTGGACTGGAGGGCAAGAAAGTGAGGGTGGAGGGGTGAGTTATGCGAGGCAGGGCTGTTCGTTGAGTAGATGTACAAAGCAGCCTTAGAGAACTAATGAGTTTTTCTATAAGAGAGCAGAAAAGGTAGTACTACTTGTCAAACATGTCTATTTGTTATGTTTGTATAGACTGTATAGGGTCACCTCTTAGAGGGTACAACACTTAGGTATATTTGTGTGTACTCTCACTCTATCATTAACTTCTCAATTCTGTTATGGTATCACGCGTAGGTAGGATTCCCCCCCCCCACCTACTGCTTCCGCTCACCCCTCTAGCGCCCCTCCTGGGCCTCGTCGCACCCCTCACTGGGCCCCATCGCGCCCCTCCCAGGTCCCGTCGCGCCCCTCCTAGGCCCTGTAGCGCCCCTCCTGGGCCCCGTCGCGCCCCTCCTGGGCCCCGTAGCGCCCCTCCTGGGCCTCGTCGCGCCCTCCCTGGGCCCTGTAGCGCTCCTCCTGGGCCCCGTCGCGCCCCTCCGAGGCCCCGTCGCGCCCCTCCTAGGCCCTGTAGCGCCCCTCCTGGGCCCCGTCGCGCCCCTCCTGGGCCCCGTAGCGCCCCTCCTAGGTTCCGTCGCGCCCCTCCTTGGCCCCGTAGTGCCCCTCCTGGGCCCCGTAGCGCCCCTCCTGGGCCCCGTAGCGCCCCTCCTGGGCCCCGTAGCGCCCCTCCTGGGCCCCGTCGCGCCCCTCCTGGGCCCCGTAGCGCCCCTCCTGGGTTCCGTCGCGCCCCTCCTGGGCCCCGTAGTGCCTCTCCTGGGCCCCGTCGCGCCCCTCCTGGGCCCCGTCGCGCCCCTCCTGGGCCCTGTAGCGCCCCTCCTGGGCCCCGTAGCGCCCCTCCTGGGCCCCGTCGCGCCCCTCCTGGGCCCTGTAACGCCCCTTCTGCGCCCCGTCGCGCCCCTCCTGGGACCCGTCGAGCCCCTCTTGGGCCCCGTCACGCCTTCCGGCCCCGTCGCACCCGCCCGGCCCCGTCGCACCCGCCCGGCCCCGTCGCACCCTGCCCGGCCCCGTCGCAGCCGCCCGGCCCCGTCGCACCCGCCCGGCCCCGTCGCGCCCGCCCGGCCCCGTCGCACCCTGCCCGGCCCCGTCGCAGCCGCCCGGCCCCGTCGCACCCGCCCGGCCGCCGTCCCGCTCGCCCGGCCCCGTCGCATCCGCCCGGCCCCGTCGCACCCGCCCGGCCCCGTCGCGCCCGCCCGGCCCCGTCGCACCCTGCCCGGCCCCGTCGCAGCCGCCCGGCCCCGTCGCACCCGCCCGGCCGCCGTCCCGCTCGCCCGGCCCGGCCCTGTCGCACCCGCCCGGCCCCATCGCCCCAGCCCGGCCGCGCCGCGCCCGCTCGGCCCCGTCGCCCCGGCCCGGCTCTGTCGCACCAGCCCGGCCCCGTCGCGCCCGCCCGGCCCCGTCGCGCCCCCCCCCGGCCCCGTCCTCCTCATTGGTACGGTTCCCCCCACCCCGCCCTGCACTGCCTTGCACCGTACCGCCCCGCACCACACGGTACTGCCTTGCACCGCACTACACCACACTGTACCGCACTGCACCGCACTCCACCTAGCTGCACTACCCTGCACCGCACTGGACTGTTCCTGATGGCGGCGGAGCTTCGCTTCGACGCTGAAGGTCAGCACCTAGAGTTCGAGGCGTGGCTTGCCGACCTCCGCCGCCAACTCACTGGCCAGCGGCAGGATGGTGAACCGCTTTCCGCACACCTTGACGGTATGCTCCCCTGCCCAGACCCCCCTGCTATTCTGCCCGCTAACCCCACACCCACTGAGCGTGAGTCTACTGCTGCCATTGCCCGTGCGCGCTCTGTCTGGCTTTCTCGCGATGCTGTCGCTCAGCTTGCCATTAGCAACGCCCTCCCCCCGTCCGAGCGTCCTCGCTTTAGGTCCCTCACTACTGCTCAGGCATACTTAGATGCTGTCATCAAGCGCTATTCCACCCCTCCGGCTGCCTCGGTGGGTCGCCTGATCCTCCCGATGCTCTTTCCTGACCTTGCCTCTTTCCCCACTGTCTCTGACCTCGCTGCCCACCTGCGCTCGATAGAGGAGACCTGGCGCGCCGCCTGCACTGACGCACAGCTTAGCGCCCACCAGCCGCCCATTACCTCTACCCTCTACCTGCTTGCCACCCGCCTCCCTGACCGCCTTGCTGTCGCCCGCGACCGCTTCCTTAGCATTCACCCCGCTGACCTCACCCTCACTGACTTTGTAGACACCCTGACTGTGATAGAGACCCGTCACCGCTCCATCGCCCAGGCGAGCGGTGTCGTGCCGGTCCCTATCTTTCAGGGTTGTGCCCCCGCTCAGTGTACCTTCTCCGACGGCTCTGTCGCAGTGGCTGAGACTGCTGCTGCAGCGCAGTTTCGTTCGGGGAAGGGCCGCCGCCCCAAGGTTGGGCGCGGCGGAGGCGGCGGCGGGGGTGCGGGAGGGGGTAGTGGTGGGGTCGGGTCGTCTGGTGCTGGAGCGGACAAGGGGACCCTGCCCAGTCCAGCTGAGCCGCCGCCCCTGCAGTTGCAGCAGCCGCCACAGTCGCAGCCTTCGCAGCAGCCGTCGCAGACGCGGCAGACGAGTGCCCTCCCGCCCGGGTGGCCCGGCGCTGGCGGTGGCCGGACGCGTGGTGGTGTGTCGAGTGGTAGCTCTGGCGGCGGGCGCTGTCAGTACCAGATCCAGACCGGTCCTCGCCGCGGCTTCGTTTGCGGTAAGATCGGTCACTCCACTCCCCGCTGTTTTCGTCGCCTGGACGACCTCTTTCGTCAGCGCTTCGGCCCGTCGCCAGACCTCCCGGACTGGCACAGCATGCTTAGACGTAGTATTCCGATTTTTGACATGGATGCCATTGTTTCTGCTCTGCATGTGATGTATGCTGATGACTCTAGTGTGCTTCCAACCTATTACTCACTGTTGCCTAGAGTAGGTGTGCCTAGTGTAGCCTCCCCTGCTGCGTCAGGCGTAGGATCCTCTGCTTTGTGTAGTCTTGGTGCTTCCGCCGTCGTTCCGTCGCCAGACGCCTCTGCTTCGCTTTCCTTCACCTTGGACTCTGGCGCTTCTCGGTGTTTCTTCCGCGACTCTACCACCCTGACGCCGCTTCCTGTTCCTGCTGCCGTTTCTCTTGCTGACCCCTCCGGCGGTCCGGTAGTCGCCCGCAGTTCCACCACCCTTCCCTGTCCGGCGGTTCCTTCGGGCTCTCTTACAGGTCTGCATATCCCCTCGTTCTCCAGGAACCTAGTTGGTGTCGGCTGCCTCCAGGACCTTGGCGTCACCACTACGTTCCCTGGTCACGAGCGGTATGCTGTCTGTACCGAGGCCGCCACTGGTGCCCCCCTGTCCACGTTCCCCCGGGACCCGGTGTCCGGCCTGTTCACTCTGGACACCGTGACCCCCCCGTCTGGAGCGCTCACCCAGGTTGCTGCTGCCTGCTCCTGTCGGTCCCTAACTCACCCGACCCTCCTTTGGCACCACCGCCTAGGTCACCCTGCGCTCCCGCGTCTGCGTCATATGTCCCAGCACGGTCTTGTCCTTGGTCTCCCAGGTTCTCTCCCCGCGTTTCCCTCCTCCCCAGCCCCACCTTGCACGCCTTGCGTCGAGGGTCGGCTTCGCCGTGCCCCTCACTCCTCCTCGTTTCCCCCTACCGCCGCGCCGCTGCAGACCCTGCACCTGGACGTCTGGGGCCCCGCCCCCACCCCTGGGCCGCGTCGAGAGCGCTACTTCCTTGTGCTCGTCGACGACTTCACTCGTTACACCACAGTCTTTCCCCTGGAGCGCAAGGCCGACGTGCCTGGCGCTCTCATCCCCTGGCTTGTCTCTGCGCGTGTCCACCGCGGTCTCCTTGTCTTGCGTCTTCACTCAGACCGTGGTGGTGAGTTTGCCTCAGGTGTCCTTGGTCGCTTTTGTCGTGCGGAGGGCATCACCCAGACATTCACCCTACCGGACTCCCCACAGCAGAATGGGGTCGCTGAGCGACGCATCGGTTTGGTCATGGAGGTGGCTCGCACCTCCATGATCCATGCCGGTGCACCCCATTTTCTGTGGCCGTTCGCTGTGCGCTACGCTTCTCACCAGCTTAACTTGTGGCCGCATCCTCAGCAGCCGCAGGTTTCGCCGACCCGTCTGTGGACTAGGTCTCCTGGTGACGCGTCTGCGTTCCACGTCTGGGGCTGCCTTGCTCACGTTCGTGCCTCCGGCACGGACAAGCTCACCGCCCGCACTCTTCCCTGCGTCTTCCTCGGTTTTCCCCTTGACGCGTCCGACTGGCACTTTTACCACCCGCCGTCTCACTGCTTCTTTCACTCTCGTGACGTCACCTTTGACGAGTCCGTCCCCTACTACCGTCGCTTCCCCCACCGTGGTCCCCCGGTTACCCCCCCCCTGTTCCTGGCCACTCCTTCCCCGGTAGTCCCTGCCCCTCCTCCTCCTCCTCCCCGTCCCGCCCCCTCTGGTGTGTCCCACGTCACCCCCCTTCCGTCGGTGGACCCGGTTGAGGAGTCTTCTGACTCTGGTGGCCCTCTTGTGTAGTCCTCCCCGACTACCCCTCCCCCGGTGTCCCCTCCCCAGTCCCCTCCTCCACCGCCTCTGCTGCCTCTGCAGCCGTCGTTGTCGCTGCCGCCGCCGCCACTGCCGCCGCCGCCGCCGCCGCCGCCGCCGTCGCAGCACCCGTTCGCTGACTCTGGGGGTGCTCGTCCCGGTAGCCCTGGGGGTGGTCCCTCTGGGGGTGCTGGTGTGGAGAGTGCCGGTGGTAGCCGAGGAGCAGCTTGCGGTCCCGGTGTCGCCGTTGTGCCGTCGCAGCAGCAGTCCCCGCCGGTGTCAGCCCTTCGCCTGCTCGGCCTTCCGTCCCCCGACCCTCCGTCGGTTCCTCCCCGGCCGTCTCCTCCTCTTCCTGTCTACGGCCCTGTCTTCCCTCCGCCGGACTTGTCCCCGGCCCGTCTCCCCCCTCGTTCCCCTCCTGTGTCCCCTCCTCTGTCTCCTGACCCGACTCCTCCGTCGCACGTCTGGTCTCACCGTCCCTCCCGTGCTCGTCCTGCCTCGCCTGTCTTGCGCTCTCACCCTATGTTGCTTCGTTCCCACGCGTCTCGTCCTCCCCTTCTGCCGTCGCCTCCTCTGTCCTCCCTTGTTGTTGCACCCCCACCGCTGTCTGACTACCTTCGTGCCGCTCGTCCCCTTGTTCCTCGGGTCCTTGCCTCTCTCGTTACTGACTCGTCTGTTCCGACCTCGTGCCTTGACGCTCTTGTCGCTGCTGTCGCTGACTTTGCCTCTACCCGCCGCCTTGACTACGCCTCCGCTCTGGTCTCTGACCCTGCCTGTCCTCCGTCTGTCGGGGGTGCTCCTGCCCTTGGCAGTGACGTCCTGGAGGACCGCCAGTTCGAGCTTGCTTTCCTCTCCGAGGCTGCTCCCCATCTCTGTTCCATGCTGCTAGTCCCTGAGGGTGACCCAGACGCTTTCGACATCCCGACCCCTCGCACTTACGCTGAGGCGACTTCGGGACCCTGGGCCTCGCAGTGGATAGCTGCCATGGAGCAGGAGATGGCATCTTGGAGATCCACCGCCACCTTCGTCGACGCAGTTCCCCCACCTGGGGTGAACGTAGTCGATGGCCGCTGGCTCTTCAAGGTGAAGCGCCCTCCTGGAGAGCCGCCTGTCTTCAAGGCGCGCTATGTGGCTAGAGGCTTCAGTCAGCGCGAGGGGGTGGACTTCTTCCAGACCTTCGCTCCGACCCCGAAGATGACTACTCTTCGGGTTCTGTTACACCTAGCTGCTCAGCGTGACTACGAGCTTCACTCCCTCGACTTCTCCACTGCCTTCCTTCAGGGCAGCCTACACGAGCAGGTCTACCTGCGGCGCCCTCAGGGCTTCACTGGCACCTTCCCTCCTGGGACCCAGTGGCTCCTGCGGCGCCCCGTCTACGGCCTGCGCCAGGCTCCCTGTGAGTGGCACGACACTCTCCGTGCTACGCTTGCTGACCTGCAGTTCTTTCCGTCTTCCGCAGACCCTTCACTCTTCGTTCGTGCTGGCCAGACTCCGTTCTACATCCTTGTTTACGTCGACGACCTGGTCTTTGCCACAGCTGACAGGGACGCACTGGCCTCCGTGAAGGCACAGCTGCTGAAGAGACACACGTGCACTGACCTTGGAGAACTGCGCCGCTACCTTGGCTTGCAGATCTCCAGGGACAGAGCTGCGCGCACCATCACCCTGACTCATTCACACTTGGTGCGCCAGGTCCTTCAGAGGTTCAGCCTTCTGTTCTCCTCTGCACAGCCCACCCCTCTGCCTGTAGACCACAGACTCTCCGCTCCAGTGTCTGAGGAGTTGGTAGAGCCCAGCGGCCCCTACGCAGAGCTGGTGGGTTGCCTCATGTACCTGATGACTTGCACTCGCCCAGATCTTGCATACCCTCTCAGCATCCTGGCTCGCTTTGTGGCCACAGGCAGACACCGACCGCAGCACTGGTCTGCCGCTAAGAGGGTTCTGCGTTATCTTGCTAGTACATCGGGCATGGGGTTAGTGCTAGGAGGACGCAGGCCATTGGTCCTTGCTGGACACACAGACGCTTCGTGGGCAGACGACGCTGAGACACTCAGGTCTACCCAGGGCTACTGCTTCAGCCTTGGCTCAGGTGCCGTCTCGTGGAGAGCTACCCGCTCCTCGTCTGTTGCGCAGTCCAGCTGTGAGGCCGAGATCTACGCTGGTGCCATGGCGGCATAGGAGCTCCGCTGGCTGACCTTCTTGCTCACTGACTTAGGTGACCGGCCTAGCTCTGCCCCGGTCCTGTTCGCTGACAACAGGGCCATGATCCTCCTGTGTCAGGAGCCTCGACTCGAGGGCAGAGCGAAGCACATTCAGCTACGGTACTTCCTCCTGCGTGAGCTACAGCAGCGACGTCAGGCTCGCGTAGTACACTTGGCCTCAGGTGCCAACACGGCTGATATCTTTACGAAGGCGCTTGCGCCTAAAGATCATCAGCGGCACTGTGTACAGCTTGGTCTAGTTCCTGTAGCCTCTCACTTGCTAGGTCCTTGACTTTGTACTGTCCTTTATACGTATACTCAGACTGGACTTGTGTCCTCTCCCAGTGGCTGGACTAGTAGTGCCGCCCTGCTCTTGTTCTTGCCTTGTTTGTACTCCTTCTGACTGGTCTCTCAGACCCTTGTCTCAGAGGTTGGACTAGTAGTGCCGCCCTGAGCTGTTTGTTTAGGACATTCCCCTATGCAGTCTAGGGGGTGTGTCAAACATGTGTATTTGTTATGTTTGTATAGACTGCATAGGGTCACCTCTTAGAGGGTACAACACTTAGGTATATTTGTGTGTACTCTCACTCTATCATTAACTTCTCAATTCTGTTACTACCTGGTACCGTATTCCCCCGTATATAACACCCTAGGGTATTGTCAAAATTTCATAAAAAAAAGCGTATGGGTGTTAACAGTAGGCTGGAAAAATAAAACACCCATGTCTTATGTAAAATGCAAAATGAATTTGGGTTGTAACACACACTCTGAGGCCAAAACTTCACCGAGCATCTGCTAACGAGGAATCTGCTACAGAGATTGCGTACTCTGACAGGGTCAGTTTGGTGCCTTTGAAAACGGTGGGAGATTGATGCTGCAGCAGTGCCAGGTGTCATTGACCAATCTCGTAAGAGTGCTGTGAATAGAGTCACGACCATTGCTGACGCGATCGAAATGGTTCAACAACAAGATGGACGGTCGAGATCCTCTCGACACTTTTGGTCTTTCGATTTCATGTTGCCACTTGTACTGATTCTTCTGCCCGTCTTTGCGCTGCGAATGGCAGCTGACGCGATTTTAATCGTGTTCGTATTTTTGCAGCTGAGCGAACCTTGGTAATGAAGGACAGAATACTATTTAAAGCCAAGAAAAACGTGCAGGGTGTTATGTAAAATGCAAACCCAAAAAAGCGGGTACTCTCAAAAATGCGTCATATCATAAGCTATCCCCCGCATAAGCCACCCGTGGGCTGACTATTTCGGCGGGTCTTATATACGGGGGATTACGGTACATGTGGGCACTAGCAGCTGTGTCATCATAAGCTGAGGCCAGTGATTAACTGATTGTTAGCTAGTGCATTGGTAATGTGCATTCTCTTCCATAAGTGATGATGTTGGAACAACTACATTGGACTGGATAGTTCTCTGTGCGCCTGTGTGCACCATACAGGAGTGTGGTCAATCAACCTAAGCATTGGATAATAAATTGCAAAACCATGGTTACAAAACCAGGTTAGGAAGCACAACACGGCGACAAACAACACCCCGGATTCCGGAAAGGGATACCGTGGCATGGAAGAAGGCAACCAAACCAACAGGTGAGAGCAGACGGAAAGCATGAGGCAGTCATGGGTTCCTCTGTTTGTCAAATGGAACTTAGGTCGTTACTGTAGACTATACTGGTTTGTGCCTTAGAGGGTACAACACCCTAGTCTATACACCCCCCTAGTCTTACTCATTCTGATACTGTTGTTGTTGTTGCCGGCCTTCATCCCCCACAGGATAACCTGACATGCATGCGTTGTGCATGCAGAGAGGGATGCAAAGGCGCGTTGGGTAAGTTATGGAGGCTGTTTCTGTTCGACGTACAGAGCGGCAGCAGCTTTTCAGGTGTGCGCACAGTTTTGCAGGAAGAAGTGTTGAGAGGAGGGGGGAGAGGAGAAATGGTGACAAAAAGAGGGATGGAATGGGGAAGGAGAGGGAGCGGATGCTGAGGGAGAGAGGAGAGGACGGGAGAAAACAGAAGGGAGGGGGCGACAAAGAAGAGATAACACAGAAATGGATGACGGGAAGGAGGGACTGGAGGTAGGAGACATGATTACCTGAGAATTGGAAAATTGGGAAGTGATTACAGGAGAGATAGTTACAGGAGAGACAGTTACAAGAGAGATTGTTACAAAGAGATGGTGACAAAGGAGGTTACGATGGTGGTTACCATCCTTGGGATCGTCGGTGAGGTCGTTGAAAGTGTATATGGCTTTCCGAGCTGCCTTGGCTAGCTCATAGTCCACTATCACCTGATGTGCATGGGGGATATGGGGTCACATGCGGCGTGGAGACATGGAGGGGCATGGGGCATGGAGGCATGAAAGCACAGGGGGTATGGGGTCCTGTCTTGAGCTGACATGAAGGCACTTGCCCTGCTGATAGTCCTCTAACTGATGGGCACGAGCAGGGCAAGACAGCTCAAGACATCTCCCATGCCTTGAGCTCACACCTGGTGGCACGGGAAATGTGGAAGCACATGGGGCGTGGAGACATGAAATTATACATGGCACATGTGGTCCTTCGTCCTCGTCTTGGGCTGACTTTCCCAGCTCCGAGCTCACTATCACCTGATGGCCATGGAGCATGCATGCACCTTCCTCACCACCCCCTCACCACCCCCTCACCACCCCCTCACCACCCCTCACCTGCATTTCAGAGTCAAACTCAACATCCTCCTCTTCTCCCCCTCCCCCTGCCCCTCCCCCTCCCCCTCCCCAACCCTCCACCTCCAGCTCTCTCCTCAGCGCCCGCATCTCCCCCGCCCACACGCTTCCCCTCGCCCACAACTCCGCATAGTCCCCCAGCAGGTGCAAGCGGTACAGCTGCTTCAGCGCGTGGAAGAAGCCCGCCTCGCGCTCGTTGGTGGCAATGTACAGGTGGCACCCCAGAGGGGCCAGCGAGGGGAGCTTCTGGATCAGTCTACAGGTGGGGGAGAGAAAAAGGGGGAGGGGAGAGAAAGGGGAGGGGAGGGAGAGGCGGAGGGGGAGAGAAGGGTGGCTCGTTGCTTGCGATGTACAGGTGGCACCCCAGGGGCGCCAGCGAGGGGAGCTTCTGGATCAGACAGGAAGGGGGGAGGCCGGGGTGATGGTTTCGGGGAAAGAGAGGTTAGGTTCGGGGAGATAGGCGGAGATAAGGGAGATAGGGAGAGATAGCGGGAGATAGGGGGAGATAGCGGGAGATAGGGAGATGGGGGGTTATAAATAGGCAGAAATTATGTCTCTCCATTCGTCAGGTGGAGTCAGAAGCAAAAAACGGGGGGACGAGGGGATAGGAGCGGGGAGGGAAGAGGGGAGGGAAGAGGGGAGGGAAGAGAGGAGGGACGAGGGACCAGGAGAGTGGGGCAGACAAGATGAAGCTAAACCCAAAGCCCTTACGCCTAAGGCCACGTGTCTTTGTCAAGATGGGGCCCCTTGCACAGGTACAGAATCTCTCCCCCATTGACCCCATAACACCCCCCGCACCCCCGTGCCTTATGCTTCCCCCTCCCCCCTCTGTCCCTCCCGCCCGACCCCCCTTCCCAAACCCACAAAACCCTTGTGCCTCTGGCCGTGTGTCACTGTTGAGGAGCGGGCGCTTGCGCGGGTCCGGCTTGTCCCTGCACCGTACTTGCCTCAGGTCCAGCAGTCTCACATGCGCCCCCTCTACCCCCTTCCCCTTCTCCCTCTCCCTCCCTTCCCAGACCCTCCTCCATCTCCGGACCCTCCCCTCTTACGCTTCTGGCCGTGTGTCTCGGTCCAAGTGCGGCCACTTGCGCGGGTCCAGCTTGTCTCCGCGCCGCACGTGCACGTAGTGGTAGTCGCCGCCCATGGACTCCACTATGGCGTGGATCACCGCGAGCAGTGGCGAGGTCGGGATGAGAATGGAGCGGTCTGGGGTCACTGGGCTCTGTGGAAAGTGAGAGAGAGTGAGGAACAGAAAGCAGGTAGGGTGTTTAATTAGTGGAGTGGGTCTCTTGGGATTTCAGGTAAGATGTGCACGTAGTGGTAGTCGCCGCCCGTGGATGCCACTATGGCGTGCATCACCGCGAGCAGTCGTGCCATGCGAACCAGAATGGAAGGAAGGGTCTGGGGGGTCACAGAACAACCGCAGGCAGGCCCCCTTTAACAGCAACGCACCTCGTTGTATTGCGTAGCGTACCGTTCCCCCCTGCGGCTTCCTAATGCCCCCTGCTGCTGCTGCTGCTGCTGCCGAGCTGGGGATTTAATTCTGGGGCGCTTCGAAACTAGACTCCCGTACCGCTCCTCCTGCAGCTTCCTAGTGCTGAGGAACGCCTCCCCTCTGCTGCAGCAGCAGAGTCTGGAATTGAGTTCTGAGGCGCTTCAAGTGTTGACTCACCTTGGTGTATCTCTTTCTCTTCTCACAGATCTTGAACGCATTGTGCTCATACTCACCGTGCTCTTGTGTTCCACACTGTGAGCGCGTACTGCTCTTGTTGCAGCCATCTCACAATGCGGAACACAAGGGCATGCCCCTCTCTGCTGCAGCTGGTGCTGCAGAGATGGTGCGTGCAGTTTACTATTCTGAGGCGCGCTTTTAGAATAGACGGCTCACCTCGTTGTATTTATTACCGCAGATCATGAAAACGTACCGCTCCTCTGCTGCTGCAGCTGCTGCGAACTGATGAGCTCAAATTACACTTGGAGCAGCAAGAAGCAAGCACCCTCACCTCGTTGTGCCTCTTGTCGCAGATCTCGAAGGCGTATCGTCCCTCCTGCGGCTGCCTGATGATGAGGAACACCCCCCTCTGCTGCTGCAGCTGCTGCGTGGAGTGCCCCTCGCCCACCCCGTGGTAGCTGATATCCATATGGTCCCACGACTTGAACCGATGGAGGAATGCGGTTATGGAGATGACTGGCTGGTGGCTGGGTGTGAGGAGGTGGGGGGGGGTTGGGGGGGGAGAAGGGAGGGCGGCATGTACCGGAGGGGAGCGGGGAAGCAGAGGAGGAGGAGGATGCCCCTCCCCACCCCATGGTAGCTGACATCCCTGTGGTCCCACGACTTGAAGCCATGGAGGCATGCAGTGATGGATCATATAGAGATGACTGGCTGGTGGCTGGGGGGGATAGCGAGAGAAGGAACGCATGGGATGGAGCAGGGAGGGGTGGGAAGGGGGGTTGAAACTAACGTCCCACAGGTCCTCCAAGGGTTCAGATTGGCACATAGTTCCTCTGTGTCTTCTTGATAGGACGCATACTTTCACAGTGTCTTCTTGATTGGGGAGGGATGGGGAGAGAGCAGGCAGCCTTTTGAGACGCCTCAGAAGAGTGCGCGGTGGAAAGCAGGTGGCACTAGTAGCAGTGCTGGCCTCACCTAAGGATGTGCGAGTAGTTGTAGTACAGACCCAGGTGCCGCCTCTTCACGGCCCCCGTCATTGTGTGCTTCCCACTCAGGCACCGCTCGCTAGCCAGCACCAGCGTCCTGTTCAGCGCCCTAGCCTCTGCTGCCGTGCAGGCGAGGCTCGCTGTGAAGTGCGACTGCCCCACGCAGTTGTCCGCGTCTGACGACAGCAGGTAGAACCGCTCGCCGCGGTTGTAGGCGTCTCGCACTGCGCTCACGCCCTCGGGCACCCACCACTCCCCTCCTCCTGCTCCTGCTCCTGCTCCTGCTGTTCCGTCCCCTCCAGTCCCTCCTCCTCCTGCTGCTGCTTCCGCCCCCCGCCCTCCCTCCCCGCCACCTCCTCCTCCTCCTCCTTCCTCTCCTAAGTTTTCTCCCCCTGCGTTTTCCCTTCCTGAGTCTGCTCCTCCCGCTTCTCTTTCTCCCGTTCCCCCTTCCCCTCCTCCTATACTCGCCTCCTGCCGTCCCTCCTGCTGTCCCTCCAGCCGTCCCTCCTGCTGTCCCTCCTGCCGTCCCTCCAGCCGTCCCTCCTGCTGTCCCTCCTGCCGTCCCTCCAGCCGTCCCTCCTGCTGTCCCTCCAGCCGTCCCTTCTGCTGTCCCTCCTGCCGTCCCTCCTGCTGTCCCTCCTGCTGTCCCTCCTGCCGTCCCTCCTGCTCCGTCCTTCCTTGCTCCTTTTTCTCTTCCTGCCCCCCCTCCTCTCCACCCCTTATTCCCCCATCCTCCCCTTCAACTTTTTCTCCGTCCTGTGCTCTCTCACTTGTGCCTTCCACTCCACTTCCCTCTTCCTCTCCCCCATTTCCGTTTCCTACTCCCTCTGGATTTTGCCTCGCTTCCTTTTCCTCTTTGCTCCCTGCTTCGTTTTTCACACTGCCCCCTTCCCCTCCCCCTTCCCCTTGCCCTCCCCCTTCCCCTTCCCCTCCCCCTTCCCCTCCCCCTTCTCCTCCCCTATCCCCTTCCCCTCCCCGGTCCATGCCCGCTTGCCCCATCTCGCTGCCATCGCCTCCGCTTTGACCTTCCCCATCCTCTCCCCCTTCCCCTCCCGCTTGCCCCCCCTGCTGCTCTTCTCTTCTCCTTGTACGCTGCCCTTCCTCCCCCAATGTCTCTCCACTCCCCCCTTTCCCACTCCCCTCTTGCTCATTGGCTACCTCTTGCTTCTGCCCTTCCCCTTGCCCTTCCCCTTGCTCTTCCCTTTGCCCTTCCGCTTGCCCTTCCGCTTGCCCTTCCGCCTGCCCTTCCCCTTCCCCTTGCCCTCGTCTTTCCCCTTGCCCTTCCGCTTCCCCCCCCAATCCAGTTGCCCCTTGCCCCCCCTCACCCATTTTTCCGCCTCCCCCATTTCCCCCCTCTTCCCCTCCCCCTTCCCCGCCACCTCCCCCTGAATCCCCCACCTTAACATCCTTCCGCTCCTCTCCCGCGTTTGTAACAAAGCCGCTTCCCCCTCCTCCCCATTCTCCCCCTCCTCCCCCTTCCCCACCTCCCCCTCCCCCATCTCCCCCTCTCCGATCACTCCCCGCCACTCCCGCCCTCGCTTCACCCCCCGTCGCACTCCTTTTCTCCTCTCCGCCGGGTTCCCCCCGCTTTTGCCGCCGCCATTCGCGCCACTCCGCGTACCGCTCTTGGCGGCGCCGCTGCTGCTGCTGCGTCCACTCCTCGAGCCGCTGCTGACGCAGCTCTAGCTGGCGGCTCGACGACAGGAGATGGACTAAGAGGCAGACTAGCCCCACCCCCAGGCACGCGAGGATCCTAACGCGCAGCTGCGTCATCCGCGCGGGGAAACACTCGCCCGCGCGCTCATGCGGAAGGACTTGCGCGTTCTGCGCGCTCATGCGGAAAGACTTGCGCGCTAATGCGCGTGCTAGCGCAGCGCTCGTCTGGAGAAGCCAGCTCTGGCTGCTTCGACAAGGCAAGCGGAGAAATTATTTGAACGAGGTAGCCTGCGAATAGCGAGGTAGCATTCTGGTCTGCCCGTTTTCTGTAATAGCGAGGTAGCATCAGGGCAACAGCAGCGTGAGAGATGTCATGTTGACCTTAGTGCCGTGCAGATTTCGAGCAGGTTCGTAGTCACCATTGCATTCCTCTAAATGGATTCTGGATGCATAGTCGTTTCAAACTGTCACATGATAAGGAGTTTAGTTCTTTGCTTCCTAAAGAATGTGTAAGGAATTAGCAATTATTTTTTTAGGCTTTCTAAAACATGTACGACTCGAACAGACCCGAACCATCGCCAGGTTCCAGACTTCTCAGTTCGAGCCCCCTGGGCCTTTCCGGACTGTAAGGAATTACGATTCCTTACTGGGGCTCGCCACAGCGAGTACCGCGAACAGAACGGGTCCGCAGGCTTGGCCCTGGGTTATCTCGCCAAACCAGCCCCCGTCGACCTTTTCGGCCCCAACCTGATCCCGAGTCGCCCAGAACCCGTTTTGACCCCGTCACCCTTGGACTAACGAGCCCTTGACTGGTCCAACCCTCGACATTTCGACCTGGTCAACTCGCACCATATTAGCCCTAGGCCTCAATTCTGTAAGTACGTTCCCTTAGTATTCTGCGCTATACTTATAATTCATAACACAGACCTTGCTTCGACACATCGAGGTGTTTCGAAACCTTTTCCGAACCTTCTGATCCTACGTCCAGGATCGCACTAGGTTTTCTATTATTCTCGTCTTTTACCTTTTTGTCATTCACTTGTTCACAGTTTCGCCATTGCCCTCCGCGTTACTCGGCATTTCCATTTATAACAGAATGCCTTATATTACATGCGCACCAGCTATCCGTACAATTAGCAGTAACAGCAAAGCCAAAAACATGCTTCGCAAACACGAACTGTCGCAACCAGTAGGATTCAGCCAAATTTGTCCAATCACGGAGGCACGTTGCCAATGGCCACCGTAATCGCCTCCCAGTCGCTGGTTTGGTAAATCTAACTCCTCAAGCCATGCACGCAACAAAGATTGGTCATCATTTCAGGGCGTGTCCAGCGCGTTCGTATACTATTCAGTTGGCGGACGCTCTCGAAGTGTGCCAGCAGTCGTGTTGCGCACGTTTCGAAAGCGGCTAGAAATTGTGCCCGAAATGAACTCCCGCCAGAAACGACAAAACCTGGCTGGCGAATAGTAAACACACGACTTCGTCATTTTCGGGAAGATTCGTCAATGCCATGGCAAAAACAGCGAGGCCTCGTTTTCCAGGCTCTTAATACCGTAACTCTGCTAATTTCGCCAAGCATTTTTGTTTTTCGCTGCGCAGAGCATTCGTAGGCTGGACGCAAGGCCGAGCCAAGCATGCTCTCCGCAGTCGAAAGGTGAGCCTCGCGACATATACATTCCCCGTAACATTTTTCGAACATGTACAGAAGATGTAAAAAGTGCGTGTTAGGGCAAAATGAACGCGCTAGACACGCGATTGCACAAGAATGTTGCCAGACCTGAGTTTCGTTGACCCCCCAACCAACTCCCGAACCAGAGCCTGGGGGATGCCCCACAGAACAGCCAAGCTGGGTGGAAGTCAAAGCATTGTCCGAAATACTGACATCGCTGTGCGGTGCTAATCGGTCTACAAAGTGTCCCCTAGTTCCTGTACGGCTCACAACGATGTGAGGCGGTAAATCGACGTCGACGTTGTACTTGGTACCCGCTGCTGGATGCTCCACGCCCTTTTTCTGTAGTCTGTACCTGACATCTTGCCAAATAAATATGGACGAGAAGGGCAGAAACAAACGGGCAGGGGAGAAAGGAAAACGGGGGCTGCGTATTTAGGGCATATAGCTTAAGGTTTCGAACGGAAGTTCCGACGAAGTTTGCCGCACTGTACCGCGCAATTTTCCAACTAAACAAACTCTAAAATGTCACTCCCTGTACCCCCCACTTCCGCTCGAACACCCCTGCTTTCGAAACCGTAGGTTACACGGCCTTATTCCCCAATTCAGACGGATTTTAGGGCTAGTCACAAAAGTTATACGTGCAGTATATTTACGATAGGGAGGGTGTCGTATCCATGGTTGTATGGATGCCTGATGTCTAAGGGTGTCGTCGTATCCACCATGGTTTCCCTAACCAACATTAGAGTGGGAGCCACACCCCCCCCCCCCCCTACCCCCCTCCCAAACCTCTGTGCGTGCCTCGTAACACAGTACCGTACCTCATTCGTGCTGCGTAGCCATCACGGGCTGAGCAGCAGCCTCTCGAGGCTCGTTAGCTTGTGAAAGCTGCTTTGACGCCTCGTCAGATCTCCACTCACCATGGAACCCTGCACCCTCGTAGCACTGTGCTCTATTTCTCCTACACCAGTCGCGATTTCAAACGTTCGTCAGTTTCGAGCGCCGCCTTGCTCTCTTTTCCCAGCGTCACAATGGTTAGCAGTACTGTTGTCGGGGAACGGCGTGAGAGATTTGAAGCTGCGAGCGCTGGCGGCAGGGAAGGCGCTGGCCTCGCTGCTGCCGCTGCATCGCAATGTAACAGTAGTAACAGCAACGGTCTACAACCCATCCGTGGCGAAAGTCCCTCCACTTTCGCCTGTTTCGCCGCAAATGGTTCAAGGGAGCTCGTGGCTACCTGTGCTCTGGTCACCCTCCTGTCCTGCATTCTCCTCCTCGACCTCAGCAGCCCCTCGAGCTTGTCACCCTCCGCCTTAATCACACCTACAACAGCCTTCTTCCGTTTCGGCGCGGGCAGCTCCAAAGTTCTCCGCTGCCCGGTCGAAATGAGCTCTGTCGTCCTCAAGCCCACCCTCGGAACCGACTCTGAGTTCTTGCGTCCTGTCCCTTGGGCGCCACTACCCGGAAAATTCCTCCTGGCAACATGCATGCAGGGGCAGCTATCGAACCGCCATCTGTGCGTGCATAAATCTCTCCTCCTCGCGATGCTCCTTAATCGCACGCTTCTCGTTCCGCGTCGTGACATTTGCTCGTCCTCGAAGCCCCACTGGCGCTACGATCTATCCCGGACTATAGACTTGGGCCACTTGGGCCGGTGCTTTATGGGGGTAGGCGGGGAAAACCGGGGATCAACAGGCGCGGGAGCAGCTGCAGCTACATCCTCAGCAGGAGAAAAACCAGGCGACTACAGTTCCTTTAAGGAAGCAATCCCGGGAGTGATGTCGCTGGACGCCTATCTGGCGGCGCACAACAGCAGCGTTCTAGAGGTTGACGAGCTCGCATGTGGGCTGGTCCCGGACCCCTCCGCCTGTTTCAGGCTCCCCAAGTGCAGCAAACGCCTCAACCTCACACCCATCACCTTCCCCTCGAATATCTCTCCTGCGCTGCTCCCCCAAGGTCGGCTTGCTGACCTGGCAGCCAGGCTGGCAATATCTGCTCCCAATACTGTCACTGCTCGGGTCCTTTGCCTCGGGGACCTCTTTGGATTGCACACAGAGGAGTTTTCTCAGAACACTGCCTTCCTGCCGCCGGCGTTTCTTCCCACGTCCTGCGGTCTGCCCCTTCGGCCGCCTGCTGCTGTTGTGGATGCTGCTGCTTGGTTCATGCAGGAGTATCTGGGGCGGGACTTTGCGGCTCTGCACTTGCGGCGAACGGACTTCTTGCAGCGCTTCTTTGAGGGGAAAGATGCTGATTACTGCCCTCTTGTCACCATTGCCGAGTGTGTGGTGGAGAGAATCAGTGCAGCCAATAGAGCTGCAGCAGCTGATGCGGGTATTGCTGATGATGGCGATGGTGAGGGTGATGGTGTTGGTGGGCTTGCTTCGTTTGCTGGAACCTCCTATGAAGGACGGCCGATTCGCATTGTCTTATTTTGCACGGATGCAGGCGGGGCGCAGGTAAAGGCTCTCTCGCGCCTTCTAGAGTACCATGGAATCGTTTTAATCCGCGTGAACATGCTTGACGACCCTGCTCTCCGGTCCTCCGGAGTGGACCAAAGTGTGGCCAACTCCCCTGATGCGGCAGCCATGGTCGAAAAAGTAATTGCTGCTAATTCCCGACTCGCGTTGTACGCCCGCGGGTCTAGTTTCTCTGGACAAATTAGGTATTTGAGGGAGAGCATGGGGCTTGAGAGTTGCTGGGATGGGATTGTCTGTGAAGGAAGGGCTGGTGGATCACTATCGTTGCCAGAAGCCCTTACAAAGCAATGATATGCCAGGCTGCCATGACAAATTTGCTTCTGTTGTCAACTTATACATATGTTTGTATGTAGAAGTTATAGGCTAGATAGGTTTGTGTTCTTAGGGGGTACAACTCCAACCCTATATCTCCCTTGTTTTCACTTGTTTCTAATCATTCTGCTGTTCTAATATGGCATCACAATAGGTTAGGTCCGCCCACTCGCTTCCGCCCCTCGCCCTAGCCTACCGCCCCGTCGTACCCTAGCCCTAGCGCCCCGCCGGCCCCTAACGCCCCGCCGGCCCCCAACACCCCGCCGGCCCCTAGGGCCCCGCCGGCCCCTAGCGCCTCGCCGGCCCCTAGCGCCCCACTGGCCCCTAGCGTGCCCGCTGGCCCTTAGCGTGCCCGCCGGCCCCTAGCGCAGCGCCGGCCCCTAGCGCCTCGCCGGCCCATAGCGCCCCGCCGGCCCCTAGCGTGCCCGCCGGCCCTTAGCGCCCCGTCGGCCCTTAGCACAGCGCCGGCCCCTCGCGTACCCCGCCGGCCCCTAGCGCGCTTGCCGACGCTCACCGCCCCGCCGGCCCCTCGCGTACCCTGCAGGCCCCTCGCGCACCCGGCCGGCCCCTCGCGCGCCTCGCCGGCCCTTCGCGCTCGCCAGTCCCTCGCGTGCTCACTGGCCCCTCGCGTACCCCGCCGGCCCCTCTCATGCCCGCCGGCCCTTTGCGCTCGCCGGACCCTCGCGTCCCTCGCCAGCCCCTCCCGTGACCGCCAACCCTTCGCGCCTCGCCGGCCCTTAGCGCCTCGTCGGCCCTCAGCGACTAGTCGGCCCTTAGCGCGTCGCCAACCCTTAGCGCCCCACTGGCCCTAGACGCCCCGCCAGCCCCTCGAGCACCTACCTGGCCCTAGCACTCCGCCGGCCCCTTTGCGCTCTGCCGGCTCATCGCGCCTCGCCGGTCTGCTGCACGCCTCAGGCCCTGTGCACCCTGCTTGGCCTTCCCCCCGGTCTTCCCGCCGGAGAGTCATGCCGCCGCGCCGTTGTGCCGCCGTGACGCTGATCACCTGTGCCGCTGTGCCGCCGTGTCGCTGTGCCACCGTGGAGCTGTGGCGCTGAGGTTGCACGATGGCGGACGCCGTACTCCGCCTCGACGCGGAGGGGCACGCGATCGACGACGCCGCCTGGCTTGTCGATCTTCGCCGTCACCTGACAGGTTAGCGCCAGGATGGGCACTCCATGGCTATGCATGTTGATGGCTTGCTTCCTGCCCCCCGTGTCTGAAACCCTCCCTGTTGACCCCACCACTGCTGAGCATGAGGCCTTTTCTGCTGCTGCGCTCGCTCGCGCTATCTGGGATTCCCGCGATGTAGTAGCGCAGCTCGCCATTAGTCATGCTCTTCCCCTGTCTGAGCGTCCGCGCTTCACTGCTGTCGCGAACGCAAAAGATTTCCTAGATGCACTAGTTGCACACTACTCCACACCCGACTCCGCCTCTGCTGGCCGCTTGATCCTCCTCATGCTATTCCCCGATGTTTCCGCTTCCCCACTGTCGCTGACCTCACCACTCACCTCCGTGCACCAGAGACTAGCTGCCGCGCTGCTAGCACTGCCGCCCATGTCATTGCCTTCTCCCCACCGTTCTGCGCTACCCTTTACCATATTGCCATACGCCTACCTGACCACTTAGCCACTGCCTGCGACCACTTCCATAGCCAAGCACCTTGGTGAGCTCACTCAGACCGCCTTTGTCACTGCCCTGTCTGAGATAGAGACTCGCCAGCGCACTATCGCTAAGTCGAGCGGTGTTGCGGCAGTCCGTATCTTCCAGGGCTGTGCTCCCTCCCAGTGCACGTACGCTGATGTTTCCGCTACGGTCGCTACGGCTGCCCCTGCAGCTGAGACCGCAGCTTCAGAGTTCCCACAGCAGCGCCAGCGTCAGGGCCGTCGTGGCCCCAAGGGACGGCATGGTGGTGGTGCTAGTGGTGGTGCTAGTGGTGGTAGTGGTGGTGGCAGGGACAGTGGTTTTGACGAGGGGGTTGGGGCTGGTGTCCAGGAGCAGCAGCCGCTGCAGCCAGCGCAGCACCAGCAGTAGCCACAGCAACAGCCGCAGCAGCAGCCATGGGCCCGCCTCCCATCGGGGTGGCTAGGAGCCTCTGGAGGTGGTGGCCGCGGTGGCGGCTCTCGCAGCTCGGCGTCTATCGGCAGCTTCAGTGCTGTGAGCTACCAGCTCCAGACCGGGCCCCTCCGTGGCACTGTGTGCCGTCGCCTGCACCCGACCCCTCGCTGCTTCCATCGCCTCGACGACCTCTTTCGTCGCCGCTTCGGCCCGGCCCCAGACCTCCCTGACTTGCCCAGTCTGTTGCGCCACGGTGTGCTTGTTTTGAGTTAGATATGGATCAGATTAGTTCTGCCCTGCATTCTCTGTATGCTGACGCTTCTTGTGTGTCCGGATCTTATTACCCTGTGTTCTCTAGCTTAGGTGTAGCACCTGCGTGTAGTACAGACTCCCTTGCTGCATCAGGTGTAGGACCGTTTGCTTTGTCTAGCCTAGGCTCCACAATCGCTCCTCCTTCGTCTACTGCTACTGCTTCGCTGTCCTTCACACTTAACTCCGGTGCATCTGCCTACTTCTTCCACGACCATGCCACACTCACGCTGCTTGCCGCGCCTGCCGCTGTCGCACTTGCTGACCCCTCTTCTGCTCCTGTCGTTGCTCGCAGCTACACTACCCTTCCCTGTCCAGCGGTTCCCTCGGGTTCCCTTACAAGCTTGCACATCCCTTCGTTCTCCAGGAACTTAGTTGGTGTCGGCTGTCTTCAGGACCTCGGCGTCACCACTACGTTCCCTGGTCACGAGAGGTACGCTGTCTGTACCGAGGCCGCCTCAGGTTCTCCCTTTGTGATGTTCCCCCGGGACCCGGTGTCTGGCCTTTCTATGCTGGACACTGCTTATCCCCTGGTTGGCACGTCCTCCCCGGGCCCTGCGTTTACCCAGGTCGCTACGGCTTGCTCGTGTCGTTCGCTCACTCACCCGTCGCTTCTGTGGCACCACCGCCTAGGTCACCCCGCACTCCCGCGTATGCGTCACATGTCTCAGCACGGTCTCGTCCTAGGTCTCCCTGCATCGCTTCCTACCCTCCCTCCCTCGCCTACGCCGTCGTGCACGCCCTGCGTCGAGGGCCGGCTTTGCCCTGCCACCGCACCCCTCCAGACCCTGCACCTGGACGTCTGGGGCCCAACCCCCGTCTCCGGACCGCATCGCGAGCGCTACTTTCTCGTGCTCGTCGACGACTACACGCGCTACACCACAGTGTTTCCCTTGGAACGGAAGGCTGGCGTTCCTGACGTTCTTATCCTATGGGTCGTAGTTGCATGCCTCCACCGCGGTCTCCCTGTGCTGTATCTCCAATCCGACCGCGGCGACGAGTTCGCCTTTGGTCGGCTTCGACAGTTCTGTCGTGCGGAGGGCATCACCCAGTTGTACACCCTACCAGACTCCTTGAGTAGAATGGGGTCGCTGAGCGACGCATTGGCTTTGTCATGAAGGTGGCTCGTACCTCCATGATTCATGCTGGTGCACCCCATTTTCTGTGGCCGTTCGCCGTTCGCTACGCCGCTCACCAGCTTAAACTGTGGCCGCGCTCCCAGCGGCCGCAAGTTTCGCCAACCCTCCTTTGGACCGGGTTCCCTGGTGACTCAACCGCGTTCCACGTTTGGGGCTGCCTCGCACACGTCCGTGCCTCTCGTACGGACAAGCTCACTACCCGCATTGTCCCCTGTGTCTTCCTCGGTTTCCCCCTTGACTCGTCTGACCGGCACTTTTACCACCCGCCGTCTCACCACTTCTTTCTCTCTCGTAACGCCAGTTTCGACGAGTCTATCTCCTTTTACCACCGCTTTCCCCACCAAGGTCTCCCGATTGCCCCATCCCTGTTTCTGGTTCCCACTCCCCCAGTAGCCCCTGCTCCCCTCCCTCCGCGTCCTGCTCCGTCTGGTGTGTCTCACGTCACTCCCCTCCCGTCGATTGTCCCGAAGGAGGAGCTGGTTGACTCTGGTGGCCCCACAATGCAGTGTCGCCTGCCTCTCCCCCTGCGTCTCCTCCTCCGCCGTCGTAGTCGCCGCCACAGCAGCCACCGCAGACGTCATCGCAGCCGCAGTAGCAGTAGCCGCCGTCGCCGAAGCAGCCGCCGCCGCCGCAGCAGCAGCTGCCATTCGTGGACTCTAGGGGTGCTGGCGTTGAGGAGGGTGCTAGTCTTGGGGTTCCTGTCGTGGCTTGTCCCGGCAAGCCTGGGGGTGGCACCGGTGCTGGAGAGAGTTCTCGCTATGGAGGTGCTCATTCTAGGGGTGCTAGAGTGGAGTGTTCTGGTGATAGCTGTGGTGCAGCTGGCGTTCCAGGTGTCGGCGTCGAGCAGCAGCAACAGCAGTCGCCGGCGGTGTCCGCCCTTCGCCCGCTCGGCCTTCCCACTCCTGGCCGCTCGCCTGCGCCTTCCCCTACCCGTCCTCCTCTTCCTGTCTACGGCCATGTGTTCCCTCCGTCGGACTCGTCTCCAGCTCGTCTTCCCCCTCGTTCCCCTCTTGTGTCTCCTCCTCTGTCTCCTGATCAGATGCCTCCATCGCACGTCTGGTGTCGTCGTCCCTCTCGTGCTCGTCCTGTCTCTCTTGTTCAGCATTCTCACCCTATGTTGCTTTGCCTCCTCTGTCATCGCTTGTTGTCGCGCCTCCTCCTCTGTCTGATTACCTTCGTGCCGCTCGTCCTCTTGTTCCTCTTGTCCTTGCCTCCCTCGTTACTGACCCGTCTGTTCCTGTCTCGAGTCTTGACCCTCTTGTCGCTGTTGTCGCTGACTTCGCCTCTACCCGCCGCCTTGACTACGCCACGGCTCTGGTCTCTGACCCTGTCTATCATCTGTCTGTTGGGGGTGCTCCTGCCCTTGGCAGTGGCGTCCTAGAAGACAGGCAGTATGAGCTTGCTTTCCTGTCCGAGGCTGCTCCCCATCTTTATCCCATGCTGCTAGTCCCTGAGGGTGACCCTGACGCCTTTGACATCCCGACCCCTCGCACATACGCTGAGGCGACCTCGGGACCTTAGGCC